TTATAATTTTCAGTGGCTAATTTCGTAACCTGCAGATGTCTTGTCCAAGTGCTGCCAATGAGATGGAGCTTTTCTAGAACTTGAAATTGTCTAAATAAATGGTAATCTGGGCTCAGGGATCTCATCACTTGGGTTGATTTCCGTAAGAAACCATAGCTAGTTTTTGAAAACTCTATCAAGTAATTTTTTTTTAATGAGCACTAGTAAAATTTTGAGTGACTACTCAAGTAATACAAATCCACTGAAGAAAAATTACAGAGTATACATAGTAAGACTCCTTTGCAACCTACTCATCTAGGGTGTAACCACTACCAGTGTTTCCATGTCTTTCCATTATTTTGTTCTGACCTCAGAAATATTTAAAATCATAATGTGAAGTTTTATCATAACCAAAATCAGGTTGAAGAATACCTACACCAGCTTGCTTGGTGTTTGCCAACTTCTCAATCCGTTGCTTTACCTTGATGACAGGTATTTAGGGCCTCTTGAAATTTGACCTTAGATATTCACTCCCTGCAGGACTTAAAAAATGCTTACAGCTAGGAAGATTAGCCTAGATTGGACAATGCTGATTTTTCACCCAACCCACAAAACCCCCAGACCACATTTCTTTTCCCCAAAGCGATTCTTCGTGTGTCTGACTATGGTGCTAAAGAGCGCCATCTATAGTCCGATGCGCCACACTACGGTTTATGTGTGGCCCCACCCTGAGGGAGAGTTAAGACCTCAGCAAAGCAGGCTTGATGAACCTGTAGGATCTCTCCCATGAGCATTCCTGATGATTAAGGTGATTATTTCAACCTCAACAGGCATGGGTAAGACTCAAGTAGGGAGTCGGACAAGATGCAGATTCAAAATCTCATGTGCCTCGAACTCCTTTTGTGACTTATGCAAGTTACGTAACTCGCTACGCTAACCTTGTTTTCTCAGTGCTGTTGGGTCGTACAGATCATCTTCACAATAGATTCGTAATATTTGCATTGCGCTTCACATGTGATATGCTTTACACTTTCTGGACTGAATTTCTCATGGAACATAATCTCCAAAGATGAGCGAAAGAATCCTTGTAAGTCCAACATCCAGTGTATTTTTATTTGGTTCTCTGAGTTCTGGCTCATGTTTGCCTATTTCTGCGAGAGCTTGGCCAGCTGGTGCTTCATTTAAGCAAGTTCTGCTGGGGGTGGCAGTCAAGAGTCTCAGCAGTGGGGTTAACACTGCCCGGGCTTTGCCCCTAAATCACTCTGTGACCGTGAGCAGGTTACTTCATTGCTGTGTGCCTCAGTTTACTCACTTATAAAATGGAGTAACAACCTCACAGGCGGTGGGCTGATTAAATGTTGTTGCAGGGAAGGGCTTAGAATAGTGCCTACCACATAGTAAGTGCTCAATAAATACCAGTTCCTACTATGGAATAGGAGGTGAAGCCCAAGAGCTTTTTCACATGTTGGCGTAACCTAATGGATTCAAAATAAGACTGATTTACAGACCTTCAGCTTCATAAACCACCGTTCAGAGGTATGAGATGGCGAACATTCATCCGACAAGTTACTGGCAGCTGGATCCGAGCGCTGACCCTGACGTCGTGTGGGTGTAGGGTCCTGGGCAAGTCATGTCCTCTCTTTGAGCCTCGCCTTCATCTAAAACAAGAGGGGTGATTACACATTCTGTAAGATTTCATTTAAAGAATTCCAGCATTCTATTACTTAATCTTTTCTGCACGGTGACATGCATTTACCTACAGGGATTCAGCTTGCTCTATGTTTCATCCGTGCTTTCGGCTCACTTAACAGGCCTAGGAAAGCAGAAAGCTTTTGGTTCTGATATAATGGGAGGAAAATGCCCAGGAGCTTGTTACTAAGGCAACCATATTTCCTCACAATGGACACATTTTTAAAGAACCCTTTCCCCCTAAAGGAATACAGATGTAGAATTTAGGTCCATTTGCTTACAAGTATATGTAAATTCATTTAGGTTTATGGACCACATAGAGATCTGGGAAGAAAAAAAATGAGTCATGCTCACAATATTTTTTTAACTGCCTTTCTGAGATCCTGTTTGCTTCAGCTATTGTTTTCTGTGGTTAAAGAAAATGTTATGGTTCACAGAATTAAGAAGCAGTGATGTGTCCCTCCATTCTTGTACTAGGGGAGAGTTGCAAATGGTTAGTGAGACAGAGAGAAGCAGCGATCCACTTACCCTCCAGAAGTCCCGATATTTATTCTCCCTCTTTTCCATCCTCTCTCTCTCTC